TGAAAAAAAAGTTTGGCTGTAGCTATAGTATGGATCTTGGATTTAACTTGACATTTATAGGGAAGGAGAAAAATTATATTTCCTGTTTTCATATTTAGGAAACTTCTGATCAACATTCTTGAACTGGGTGCTAATTAAGCCTTTAAGAACTTCTTCACCATTCTGTTTTACCCTTCTTAATTGTAAGTGTTAAAGCCTCTGGTAGCTTTCACTTGGAGTCCCTGGTTTTAACTTGAAATGGCTTAAAGTTGAAACTTAGTTAGCTTTTTGTATGTTTGGATTTTGTGTGTGTTCTGTTTTTAACTTTCAACTTGAGTTTTAAGATCATCAATCAAAGGCTTTTCTTTCAAGTCAGTCGCACTGATCTCAATTGCAGGACTTAGAGGGTCAGCATTTCCCTCGTGCTATTAAAAAATGTCTAAGCATAGAAATAGAGTATTTTAGGAATTTGAGCTCCACTGATCTTTTCATCACACATTTGCATTTTGAAATGAACAAATAAATTAGATGTAGGAAACTCAGGAAATGTCCTCCCACCGTCTCCTCGCCTCTCTCCTTCACTTTCTTTTTGGACAAAGGTAAATTACCAACTGCTATATTAGCTTCCAGCAAGCTACACAGAGGCTGATTGTAGCTTTACATATTTTAAAATCCATTCATTTATTCAAGCTATCTCTTTTCTTTATTTAAATGTTTTCTTGCACACATTTTCTTTTTCCTTTTGAACTATTGAGAACATGCTCCATCTCCCAACATTCTGTAACCCCAGTGGACATTATAATCAGCCTGCGCTTTTGTCTTTCAGATGGCATTTATTTGTGGGGTTTGTATGTCTGTGTGTCAGTTGTTTTCGTCTGCCAAATACAACTAATTTTTGTCTATAGATTTCAGTGATGCAGTGAAAACAAAGTATTTGACATCTGAACTGATGGCTGTTGCAGGATCTCTTACACACTTCCTACCGTGCACCCCAAATTCAGGGTGAATTCATTTAGCCTTCTCACTCCTCATAATACCACTTAACTATATCGAATTTAGTTTTCAAAGTTTTGCTTCCAGATCGGATTCTAGGATGAATAATATTAAACATTTTTAAAGCTTTCCCAGGTTTTTAAGAGAATGGCTCAGTTTTAGCATAACACAATATAATTTCTTCAGGTTGGAGTAAATTTCCTTGATGGGTTTTGACTGGGTGAGAATTCAGATTGGGTGAAATGAATCCAAAAAAAGATGGAGATGAATCTTGAGTTCATTTTTTATTTTTATTAACAAGTGACTCCAGTGTTAGGTATGTTGATTTCATAGTTTGGTTCATAGTCTAAGGCTTAGTTATCTCCTTGTGGGCAGAGCTTTGAAGATGTTGATGCTTTTCTACTACACTCTGCAATCTGCTGTTTAATATATGCATCACTGAAAGGTTTATGTGACTGCCTGTCATCCACCCTACCCCTCTGCTCTCACTTCTTCCCACATGAGGTATTGAATATTTTGTTAGGAAGAAAAGCCCTTTTGGAAATTGCCTATTTCATAAATTGTCTGGTGACACAAAGGGGTTGGATGCTATATTCCTGTCTCATTTATTTTGAAAACTTTGCTACTGAACTCACCTTAATCAATGAGCTCAATGTTGTCTCCAATAAGTTATGTGTTGGATATATTGATTGGGAGGGATTTTAGAAAACCCGTCTGGGGTTTATAATGTCAGCAGTGTTTTGATTATGAAAAGAGTTGGAACCTGGGGACATGGAACCAGGTGGCGAATGTCCTAAAGCCAGTGGTGACATGGTGGACTGGTTCCCTCCTGGGATCTAGTTCATGCCCTGCACTTTAACTGTGGTGACTGGCTACTATAGATTCACTTTTTTGCTCATTAAAATGTTAAAAAAATCAAACTGTACATAAAAAGATTTGTGAAAATATAAACTTGGGAATTGATCTGGAGAGCTGGCACAATCTTTCCCACCCCCTGCTTTAGCAATGAGGTCATTTACATTTCATCAGCTGTACTGCATCTTGAAGATCCGATTTATGTGGCAGTAGTTGAGGTCGTCTGAAAGAGCTTGTGTAGGCAAGAAAAAGGGGAAAGAAAACAGGAAAATTACCATCTGCAAAGAGAGTTCCCTAGCCAAAGACACAGGTTCTAGAGAAAAGAGGGGTTGGTAACTGGTTAATGACTGTTTTCCCAGTAAAGTTAATATTGAAGGACACTCTACTATAAATATAAGGCTCAAAATATGTTTAAATTAGGGTTTTAAAGTCCCCTTTCTTGAAGAATGGCACTTTTCATATTCAAGTAATTGTGTTTTTCTTTGGAAAAAAGAGGATGAGGTAGTTAGATGTTTGTATATAGGGAAACATCAGTATTAAGAAAATTTGTTCATTCCAGCAGTTTTTATTTACAAGAAACATTGCTTGTTTTTTCCCTTCCTCTTCCTGTCCTTCCATCTTGAACCAAGACGTAGGTTTTTCCGTTTTGATTGTGGTAGTGTGTGACTATGCCTGACACAGAGTAGATGCTCATTTTTGTTTTTGCCTTTGATAGCACACCACCATCTTGTTTGACTTCAGCTGGAGTATCAAGCTCTTGTAATATCACAAACATGAAACTTATTATAAGGCACAAAGATGTGCCTACATTTGCCTATATTTCCTTCCTTCCCTCCCTCCCACCCCTGCCCCATTGCTTAATTAGACTTACCGCTGCTTTCTTGGGTAAAAAGGAAAGCCCTTGGGAAGTAGGTTATACTCAGCCTACATTGGATATTTTAATATTTGTTCTAATATTATCTGACAAGTTCACAGTTGGTTATTACTCTTGACATTAGAAAGTGGTTAAGTAGTTTCTGTATTATACTGAGTAATAAGTTGGGCTTCTTAGATTCCTTTGACTCTGCTGTAGAGTGTAATGCTTTCTTGTAGCCATGGGGGTCTTTTATTCCCCCAAAATCTTGAGACTTTTTGGCTGCTCAACTCCAGCATAGAGTAGAGAAGCACTTTTGCACCTGTAACTTTTGAGGAGTAAAGGATAACTGTCATTGTAGGTGGGTTTGGCAGGAGGGAGCCTGAGCACTGAATTTTAAAGAATGCTTGGTTCATACACTGAAGTCAAGAGATATTTAGTGGTATTTGAAACCTGAAGTGAAAGGAAATATGTAAGGAATTTTTTTTTGCATATAAATCTTGTGAGTTTTGTGTATGTGAGTTTTAGTGTATTTTATAATTGAAACTACAGACATTAGAATGGATGTTTATATGATCTCTTTTCCAATATTTGCTTGATAATAACATTATGCACTGAGAAGTTGCCCTTGTTCTTCTGATTCTCTATTAGCAACTGCAACTTATTTAAATATGAGTTTTAAAACAATATGTAAGGCCTTTTGAATGCCACATTATGAATTTAGCTAATATATCAGCAGTGCCTCTTAGAATATGTTGAGGTATCCTTAGCCACATTTTTGCATATTTTTGATTTCCTATTCCTTTATTATTTCACAACATGCCTTAACAGTGCTGTGACATATATGTATATAGTATCAGTCCAAGACAATATTAATAAATAGGGTATGCTCAACTGAATTATGTAGGTGGAATATGCTCTGGCAGAGCAAGTCGGTGTGTTTTCTGCTTCATTGAGTGGGTTATTAGATTGATGTGGTTTATTTCTTGAATGATAGAACCGGTTTTAAAAATAAATGAAGCGAGAAACATCAATTCAGTTAGCATTGATAATTCATTATTATTGGTTAGAAAAGTGCTACATTTGTAAACTGATCTTTAATTTATCACTTGGATTAGGATTTGCAAAGGGCAAGTTTGTTTTAATTTGAACCAGCTTCTCAATGACTGAAAAATGTGTTCTTCATTTTGTCTTGAAGTTGGGATTTTGAATAGTTAAAAAGCAAATCAAATGCATGAAAGAAATACTTTTTTAAAATTTATAACATTGGTCTATGAACTTGAGCACCGACAGTGGACTAAGTTTACAATTAAATTAAGACAAGCTAAAGAAAGTTCTGTGGAGGAAGTAATAATTAATTACTTGTGTATATGTTCAGCTGTGTGTATAGATGCTATACACATGAAATGTGTCCACTGGGAAAAGTCACACCCCACTGTGTATTGTGCCTCATACAGTAGTGTGCTTTTCTTAATGTAAGAAGCTTCTCTTTTGTGAATAAGTCTTTGAAATGTCGCTCTGGTTAAAAAAAAAAATGCCTTTGTTCCCTTTTTGTATACTTCCCCTGAATAATGTGCTTGGTTTTATGTACCTATGTATTTGTTAAAAGATATTTAAACTCGTAGTTTGCTTTGGATTTTCACAAATTACAAGCAGGTAAGTGTGTCCAATTATGATGACATTTAACTAAAAATAGTATATACTTAAAATTGTTACATTTTGGTTACAAAATAAATTTATGCCAGAAATCGCAACTTCTTTATGAAGTAAGTAGATGAAGTTTTACACTTGAAAAAATGCAGTTGACTATGTTCAGGGACAGTTGTCTTAAAGTTGGTTTTCTATTCTGCTTGTGCTTTAGCCCGTTGATGTTGGGAAGCAAGCGTTGTCTAATCCCGGCCCCCTCTGTTCCTAGGTAACAGGCAAAAACGGTGCCAGCAACAGCAGCCCTGCCAGGCCAAACCCATGTGGCTCGGTGTTATTCACTCTGATCCATATGGTCAGGCTGGAGATGGTCCCTGGAGGGGTGTTAACACTCAGCAACCCACCCGCCTCCCTCCCTTCAGAGCTTTCCTGCGTGGCTCCTGCTGCTTGCCCATGTGTGATTCTTGATTAATTTTTCATTTTTAATGAAGTTTGATCATGTTTATTATTTCTCATGATTGACTGCCTGGTACTCCTCCCATGTAATTGATAAAGCCCATATTTCTTCATCTGTCTCCTCTTTCTTTAGGGTAAAGTTGCTAGATTGTGTGCCATGGTTAATGTTAGATTTATTGGTCCCATTAGATGTATAAATTATCTTTCTTTCTCTCCACAGGAAGTTCTACAGACTTTGACCAAGTTTTGTTTCCCCTTCTATGTGGACAGGTAGTGTCAGATTTTCAAACTTTACAAAAAAAAAATCAATAAGCCTGCTATGGAAAATAAAAACCATGCCATTCTTAATATTCTGTCTGCCTAACCAAGCTTTAAAACGTCTGTGTTCCAAGAAGAGTTGCAGGGCTCTCCTTTCCTGGGGATTTTAGTGACACCATCAAAAAGTTTCAAGCTTAGAGCTTCGCTTTGGTTAATTTGTGAGCTACAGTTTGCACAATATTAAATTTTTGATTTTGGTTATCAGACTAAAACCATGATTAAGAATGGTTGGGTTTTAATCCAGTGCTACTTAATTTTTATTTAAATATGAATATATTTGACCGTACCAAGTAATATTGAGTAATATTATGTGACTCCCTGGCCTTATGAGTGTTATATAGACTGTTTTTCCTGGACTTCAACTTAAAATTTAAATCTGCCTAGGCCTGTCTTTTTTAAAGGTATTCTGCTACTTAAAAGGTATACTGCTAAATAGAGTCTTACATCTTGCTTTGGTGGCTAAAATGGTATCTCTCAGGAAATAAGCATTTCCTACAGATTTCTAGATTTAGAAAAAATACAAAATCATCTAAACATTTCCTTGGTATTTGCATTATGATAAACTTTCTTGGAGAGGTACAAATATTAGAACTCAAAGATAATTAGTCTAAGAGACTTAAAAAAAGTGAACCTCTGGTCAACAGCTTATTTTTAAGTTGTTTATTTTAAAAACAATTTTAGAAGAGCTTTCCCCCCTTACTTATAATACTATAATTTATTAACAACATTAATAAAATGACAAAATAATCACCTTAATCTTATTTTAAAGAAATGTCTCTTGTGTTTTTCTTTACAGTTTAATCATTTTTTGAAATCACTTGCCCATTTGAATGCTGTTTGTGATTTTTCTAACGGGAAATTGAACCATGAGACTGTACAAACATTACATCTTAAAAATTTTACATTTAGTGATAGAGAGGTTTTAGAAAATATCCTTATAAGTATTAAATGCCATACTATCTTCCAAGAAAGCTATAAAATATGCCCATCTTCAGGAATGTTCTATCATGTGTTTTACTATACCCAAACGTTGTAGGACTGAAAGACTTTGGTGACTTGCAGTGCATATGGGTAGTTTGCTGCTTGGATTTTTTCTGCACTTTGTAGTAACAGTGTCCTGGTTTATTTGGCATAAACCTAAAAATGATGTGAGATGAGAATTGGTAGCCAAAGGAGTTTGAAAGAGTAGTAGGAAGCAAAGAGGGTACTAAAAAGCAGCTCTGGAATGTTGCCAATTGCTTAGAATCACTCACTGTTTCTCCTGGTTCTAACAAGTTATTTTTTAAACCAATCAACCACTGTAGTATTTCCAGACGTGGGCTTTTAAAATCCTGGTATCAGGGCTATTTTAGTAGCAGGATGTTGCTCTAAACAGAATAGTCTTCATTTTAAGAGGGCCAGTCTTTGTAATGAGAGTCCTCTTATCTCTTCTTTATCCTATTCCTTCTAAAAATAGCAAGCAAGGTTTTATTTAGAGATGTTTAATGCAGACTTCACATTTTTATGTATGAATTAGTGATGCATGAAATCTCCTCCAGCCACTTATAAAATGTATTACAAATTGTGGCAAGGGCATATTTATATAAATTAATAAAGCGGAAACGTTTTTAAAATGTAGTTAGGTGTTTAACAAAGAAAAATAAGAGAATACATTTTTATATAATTTCTTGTTAGAGTGATGACCTGTTTTGGATAGGTATACCTTAATTGACTTTGTAAACTAATATTAAAAGAAATTTGCAATGAGATTAAATCTCCCCCAATGCGTGCTGTATGTGTGTACCACACACACACCCACACACCCTTTCTCTCTCCCTTTTTCTCATACCACATAACACCTACCTGTCCGGCTGATTACATTCCGAAATGGAAGGAAAACAGGCCCTTAAATTATAGTTGTAAATTTTTTTTGTCACCAATGTCTGATGCCTTTTTGTTGTTGTTGTTAGAAAAATATTTTTCTTCTAATATGCTTCTCTTCAAAATACTCTTCTCTGATCATTATTCTCGTATTTTTTAAGAAAATGATTTGGGACAAAATTGTTTCTTTATGGATATATTTTAATCCCTGCCATCCTCACCATGTATACTGGTTCTTTCTTACGTTAATTACTTCTGATACAAAAAAACACTTTATTTTGCAGAGTATATTTTTTGTCTTCTCTTTCCCTACTTCTAACTTTGGCATACTTTAATGCAGAAGAGAATAGCAATGAAGTTTATTCACAATAAATTCAAAGATTTTAATGTCACTTTTTTTATTAGACTGCAGTTAACACTGTCAAATGGATTTGCCCAGATTCTGAGGCCCACAAAGCCCCTTAGATATATTTATGACGTTGTTTGACTTAGAAAATGTCAGCATGGGAGATGTGTAATGCCCCAGGTGATTATGTTCAAAAAAGAAAGCTTCCTAATCTTGTTGGTATCTGTGCTTTTCTACCCCAAGGAATGGTAATACAACTTTCTGACATGTCTCGTCTATATCAAGAGTGGGATTTTCACAGTCATCAACAAATCACCTGTTAACATTGACATCTTACTGTCTCTTGTGTTGTTTTAAGATTTTTCTTTCTGAAACTAGGACTTATGAAAAATAATGCCGGTGGCTCTTTGGGTTTTCAAAAGAAAGTGCTTTCTCATGTACCATCTCATATTGTCTTCCTATTGTAAGAGATGAGAACAAATGCTGTTTATCTTCACTTGAAAAAAAAAATCTAAGCTGTAGAGAAATTGTGACTTGCCCAAGGTCCTCTTAGGCTGCTAGCACAACCTGGATGTTTCTCTCTCAAATGAATACATTTTTCAGTAGAACACCTTGTGGGAAAACCAATCCCCCCCCCCACACACACGTGTGTGTGTGTGTGTGTGTGTGTGTGTGTGTGTGTGTGTGTAGAGAGAGAGAGAGAGAGGAAAGAAAAGATGTTAATATTTGAGTTCCTAATTGATTCTAGTCAACATACTAGACACTTTCACATTAATACCTCACTCTTCCCAGCAACTCTAGGAGATAGGTGATGGTGGTATCTCTTTCACAAAAGAGCAAAGGAGGGTTCTGAATGTGTAGCATTATGCTGAGTGATAAGGAAATGGTATCAGACTTGGGGCTCTGCCCTCCATGTGTTTCTCAGTCTAGCTCAGGAAGTATTAGAAAGACACATCAAGCAATACCTGTCCAGAAGGAGAGTGAAGTTATGGAAGACTGAAATGTTCAGAGAAAACTTCTCATAATGGGGGGAGACTTGTGTTGAGTCTTTAAGGATGGCAAGAAGAGGTAAGGGGAAGGGAGAGCCTAACACCCCATATGCACTGAAGAGCAAAGCAGAGGAGAAACCATGAGTGAGCCTAGAGATTGTTCAGCCAGAGCAGATGGAGCCTGCTGGGAAGAGGGTGATGTGTACTGTGGTAGCTTGGGCTCTGGCTACAGGAGGCCTTGAAAATGTGTGAGAATAAGACTGCAGGATTTTAAAGCTGAAATTCATCTGGTTCAACCATCCCGTCCTACAGAAGGGAAGCCAAGATCTGTAGAGGTGGAATGACTTGCTTATGGTCATCACCGTTTAATTACAGAGCTGGGAAAGCAGCAGATACTGTTGGTTTCAATCCAGACTTATTTCTCCCTTGCACTGTATTTAAAGCTCTTGGTGAAGAGGAGGAGTGAAATGATGGTGCTCAGATCTGTGTTCATTCTCAAAAACTTATTGTCATTGATGAAAGTAGTTTCTGGGGGAGGGGGACAGGGGGAATATATGTATAGCATTTCATCTTGTGCGCCTTGCTTGCACTCGGTAGCTGGCAGTCTGCTTCAGTTAGCCAAAGTATTCGAGATGCATCGGATGATGGAAAAGCTGGTCTTCCATGTTTGTGCTTATCCTTTATCAGAACCCAGAAAGTTAGCTACCATGCCAGGGCCCTGTATGTTATACTGTCACACACAGTGACTGAACATGAAATGACATGATCTTTTCAGGGGCAGAGGTATAGTTTTCATGATTAAGGATGTAACCAAGGTTTAAATGTGGTTTGAATGCTATTTATAATGTTACTTATTTTTGTATATGCCAGGCACTATGTATACTATGTTCTCTTCCTGTACTAAAAGTTTACACACTTGCTAGGTTACCTCATTCCACATATGAGGACACAGAGGCTCAGATAGATCCAGTAACTTGCCCAAGGTCCCACCAGTAGAAAGTGGTAGAGCTGCTTTTGAAACCCACGTGTGTCTGACCTCCAATTCCACCATACCTTCTCTACCATGTTGTACTGCCACCGTCAGATACACTACACAATAAAGTAACCAAACTTTAACATTTGTTTCAAAAGCAATATATATATTTATTGTAGAAAAGGAAAAAATACAGATAATTGAAGAAAATAAAATCCATGCAAAAAATGAAACTATAGCACATGATTAGTCCATCTGTGTATATTTGTCCAGACCTTTCCTTTTGGCCCCACCACTGTGCAGTCACCGTGCTCTACTTTTCAAGACTGTATCAGTTTGGCCCACTTGGACTCTTGTTTTTCACCCTTGGTTTAGTCCCTTGGTTTATCCGACTGGTTAAGCTGTGCCCCGTGAACATTTTGTACAGTGTTTGGTAATATTGGAGCAATCAGGCCTTAGTGGGCAGAGTGCTGGGGGTCGCAACCAAGAGACCTAGGTTTTAATTTGGGTTCTGCCATTGATTTGCTCTGTGCTGTTAGGCAAATGACATCTCTCCCCTGAGGGCCTCGGTGTCTTTATGGGTAGAATGAGGGAATTGGGTTAGATCTCTGCTGCTCCTTCTGTTTCTGATACTTTTTGATTCTTCAGTTATGATTCATTGTCACTTTGTCAGGCTCATGTAGGAGATGAAGTGGAGAGATCTCTGTTCTTTCTTAGAATAGTAGTCTGGCGTGTTTCTCAAGCAGCTAGGCATTGCCCTGTGTCTGGCAGTATGCGACCTACT